TAAAATATATTGAGAGCCTCATCTACCCTGTTGATATCATGCTGGTTCCCGGCGTTGATAATCCTGTTTCGACATCCGTACAGAAAGTTTTCAAGAATCTCCACCCATTTGCATCTGTCTTATCGGAGATGGCTACTCGTGTTTAAGAAAAGATAAGGGAAGAGATTTAAAACCATGCCAAATTATTATCAATCAATCACTCGTCCCTTAGCTTGTTTGGGTTTTGGGGGGAAATGAGGGAGGGGGGGGGGGGTGACCACTGGAGACGCTGAGATTTTTCTCCATGTCCCTTAGTCTGTCGTCCCGTCGAAAAATTCTCTTACTAACAAACCAGTCCTTTATTTAAATGTTTTCGAACCAGCTTTTTCTTTGTCATCCTTTTTCTTTGATCTACCTTCAACAATGCCCCCGCATAACGGGTTTTGCCGGGCTTTTAAGCCAGACTATGTCTCTGAAAAAAGCAAGTTTTCGTTTGCCTTGTAACAGTAGCAAATAGTTGTATTTATTATTCCTTCTTTCTAGGTGTTTTCTGTCCAATGCAGGGTGAAGCCGTCCAACAAGAATCTCCACTCTATTCTATCGGCTGTTCTCCGTATCCAGTTGTACCCGTCCTTTCTCTGATGACATCTTGCCACTTTCTCTCCGGTCTTCCTCTTGATGGTATTCCTGTTCTTGGTCTCCATTCAATTGGTCTATTTGCCATTGTTATAGCATACAAGTTCAAAATACTATTGTGTCTGCTTCACAGGTTGGAAGAAAACTATTGTATCTGTGACGGTGTCTGTCTGCCGAGGTGTATCCTCTACTCCCATTACTTGGACTTTTGTCGACGTGAGCATCTGGAGCCAGCCTGCGCCGCCACTTTCGGCAAGGTGAGAAATGACCATGTGTGGTTAGCCACAGAATAATACTAGTACACTTCAAACAATGACTAGAATGCAGATACTCCCACTTTCTGTGAAGTCCTGTTGATTATGTCTGTGATGACTCGTGATCTCTCGGATAGCCCAGTTTCAAATCACGACAACACAGTTGGCCAACTGTATTTTTTTCGGTAAGTTGTGGGCAATGAAAATAAGAGACGCCTACCGCTCCAACACGACACAATTATTTAGTTATGCTTCTCTTAACTTCATTGTCTACAACTCATCTTATTTTCATTGCCTACAACTCACCGACAACACTGTTGGCCAGCTGTTTTGTCGTAGTGTGGTACTTGGCTTAGAGTGGCCTGCAGTCCATACCATAAACAGATGGTGGTTGGAGGGTGTCACAGATTGATCCTACTTCCTTAGTGGGGGTCCTCTGGCTATGTGGTCTATTCTTGAAAGGACAGATCTTCATTTTCGAAGAGGTATGAGAATTCCCCTAACAGTCCATTAATTTCAAAAACTCTATAAACCCTTCTTTTCGGATTCGAACCAGGAACTCAAGCGTTGCAGCCCTGCACATCAATAGAGTTAAAGGCACTCCCACGTTACAATGTAACACACTTGAAATGTAAAGCAAAACTTTCCAATTATCCTCTTTGATCGTCCACTTTCATGTGGTCGTTCTCTTCATGCCTGTTGTCCATCTCGATGTAACCATCACAATAATATGTTTCTATTAGGGTTAGAGCAGATAGCTCGCAGAGAACTTCAAAGTTATCAAACAGTATCGAAAACGATTAGAAAAACCACACACATTTCTACAGCACTATACAGTTTGTCAAAGAAAGTCCTTCAGTCCACGTGAGAAAGGCAGAGGGAAGATTTAAAACACCGCAAAATGATAGAGGAAAAATCTGAGTCAAACTCAAACCTACGATATCTCCACGTTTGATGTGGTCATTGACAGTCCGCGGAACGACGACTACCGTCATAATATTTCTCCGCGGGAGTTTTTGTCGGCGTCTGTGTGTTCCGAAAGTTGTCACCAAACACGATCTTGACCTGTGACAATCCCGTCCATTGACGAGGCTGATATCGAGTAAACAAACTTATTGGTTACACCACTAGAGTCCCCTTTGTTTCCGTCTGTCGATGGGCTCAGGGTGAACAGCGCCAAAATAGTTTGGTATCTGGATGCGAAAACTTGCGGCACGAGACGGAATGGGCAGCGTCACTCTGAAGAGCAGATAAGCCTCTCATTCATGAACGGAATTAAATCTGGCTTATCTGCCCCTGTTTGTACAAGTATGACATAATGCACTAATGACTCTTTCATTGTCGGCGGAAAAATCAAAAATGATTTCGTCTCTCTAAAGGAGTTGTGGCCTTTTAAGGGAAAAATGGTATCAAATGAGTTCGAGACCCTTTTGTTATCGTCAGAGGTCAGAGAGACAAGCAGAGAGAGAGAGAGAGAGAGAGAGAGAGAGAGAGAGAGAGAGAGAGAGAGAGAGAGAGAGAGAGAGAGAGGTAGAGAGAGAGGGACAGACAGACAGACAGACAGACAGGCAGACAGACAGACAGACAGAGAATGGCTGATAAAGAAAAGGAGGAAAACAATAAAGGGAAGA